TCCATATAAAGCATAGAATTTCAAACCCGAAAACTCCAAACAAATCTAATTAAATATGAAATGTTTCTTTACAAAAAACAAAAGAATACTTCTAACTATTCGACATAGCTCAAAATTTCTTCCACCCAAAATCTGAATTGGACTTTATTAAGTTTGGGCTAGTTTGTAGTTTTGTGGATTGTTGTGGAGGTTGTTTTAATTTTCAATTTATTAAAGATATTAAAAAACATGTTTAATAAAATCTTAAATAATATTCTAGAGATGATTACCTAGAGATGATTTATCTTAGTAGATGTTTCACTTAGAAAAAATGTTGCAGGTAGCACCCCACTCACTCAAGAATTGAGAGGGTGTAAATTTTAGGGTGTCAAAGTGACAAAAAAACTTTGGGCATTAAAAATAAAATGGTGTAAACTTTAGATTATTAAAATGCAAATAACCCTTTCGTTGAACAAGGTGATAAATCATAAATGAGGGGTATTTAGGTCATTAAGGGACCAAATTGCAATAGCCCTTAGGACTTGAGAGACTAATGAGCAATTATTGTGATTTGAGGGGCTAATATGGAATTACTAAAGATTTGAGGGATTAATATCTATATAACCAAAGCTACACTTTACATACATTGAGCAAGTAATGAGAATCATCAACAATATGTCCGAAGGATGCTAAGGAAAATTTTCTAAATTTTAAAGCATTAAACGCCAACAAACAATCTAAATTAACAACAAAATTTAAGTAATTGCATCACATGCAACCTATAATTCATGTTGAGTCACTAACAATTTGTATACAATACGTTAAAAAATGCTGATTAAGAGGGCCAGAAAGGACACAAAGAACTCCAGTAGTCTCTCTATAAGGGAAAATTTTCAAAACAATCCCATTTACAAAAATATTTCAAAAAATGACCCTTTTTAACAATATTCGTCAAAACCGACCTAGTTTCAGCCGTCAGACTGAAACTAGATCGGTTTTGACGAAAAAATATGAAACTTCACGGGACTTCAGGATTTGAAGTCCCGTGAAGTTTCATAATTCAAAACAACTTCAAAGCTGAAACAAACTTCACGCGATTTAAGTCCCGTAAAGTTTAGCAGCTTAATTAAATGGATGTTAAACTTCACGGGACTTCAAGTCCCGTGAAATTTAGGAACTTCTTTCGTCAAAACCGACCTAGTTTCAACCATCGCAGTTTCTACCCGATGGTTGAAACTAGGTCGGTTTTGATAAATATTGTTGAAACATGTCTTGTTGAAAGTATTTTTGAAGTGTCGGTTTTGAAAATTTGTCCCTCTATAACCAACATGAAATAGCATTGGCATATAAAAGTGTGCAAAACAAGCACGAAAACAATAAAAAAACTTATAATCGACTTACTTATACGTAGAAAATGTTGAAAATAAAAGTAAAATGAAATGGAATATTCTCTTAATATTCACTACCATCTTGATTGTCGAGAAGTTCTGCAGTTAGTTATGTAGGTAAATAGTAGTGGTTGATTCAATTGGGCTGACAACTAAATATTTTTGTTATTATTTATATAAACAAGATCATGCATGGGTCTCAATGAGTCAAGAATATTATTAGAGCAGCGTAGAGAATCTCTACCACACATAAAAAGCTCAAAGTGAAATTAATTAAATAAAATAATGGAGTATCATCTATAAATTAAATTTAGGTAACTTCATAAACTAAACTGAAATGCTTCGTAGGATCTGAGGAACTAAATAGAAATTTTAATGATTTGAAAATCTACTTTTAAAATATGAAAGATTTAAGAGATCAATCTCAAAACCCCAAAAAAAAAGTTCCTTTATGTGTGTACCCATTAATTCATGTGTATTTGCAAAATTATCCCTTAATCTCACTATTTGCAA